GGATCGAACCCAGGGCCTTGCACATGCTAGATGAGCACTCTGCTGCTGAGCCACAACCCCAGCCATTCCTTACTTTCAACAGCTCCACTTACGCCCCAGTGCCTCTGTTATCTCCTGCATCCCCCTCCCTCCTGGGGCTGGGAGAGCCCTCTTCTGTTTCTCCCCTCTCATTCTCCTGCCTACTCAGACACTGGGTGCTCAACAAACATTCCTGGAACTCAAGTCCAGAGGTTAGAGGCCTGTGGAATGTTCACTTCTGTTGCTCCTGTGCCACAGGCTACCCTGGTGCTTCCCTACACTGTTCCTCATACAATGTCAGTTTACCCCTGTGCTTTGCCGCACAGCTGGCAGCAGCCCAGTACACACAGTTATCCAAAAGCTTCACAATAGCATCCAGAGGACCCAAGCAGGCTTGGGTCCTATTCATAAGGGAGGTAACTGACGGGCACAGTGGTGTACACCTGTAATCCCACTGGCTCAAGAGGCTGACCAGGAGGATCTCAAGTTCAAGGCCAGCCTCAGCAATTTAGTGAGGCCCTAAGCAACTCAGTGAGATCCTGTCTCAAAATAAAATTTTTTTAAAAGAGCTGGGGGCTGTGGCTGTGGCTCAGTGGTGGAGTACTTGCCTAGCATGTGTGTGAGGCACTGGGTTCGATCCTCAGCACCACATAAAAATAAAAATTAAAAAAATTGTTTAATTAAATTAACATTTAATTAATTTAATGTTTAATTTAAATTAAAAAAAATTTAGCAAGGGAAGTTGGAGACACTGACCCAACAGTGTTGACGCCAGGATCACCAGGCTAGGTGGACCCCAAGGCTGATCCAAGCACAATAAGCCAGTCGCTATGAATACCCTATCTGTACCTGGCACAATGGTCACTGCTCACTGCCAGGTACCAGGTGGGAGGATAAAGTGAGGGCTGCAAAGGGAAGTCCTAGGAAAGTCACAGGCCTCAGATAAGCACTAGGAGGAGGATGATAATTATGACAACGATGTGAGCCCCAAGCTCTTAAGAACTGTCTATCTAAAACAATTTGGAGAGACCTGACCAGATCAGGACACCTGAAGACTGCCTCCTCAGGAGGGCACTGGCAGGCAGGAAATAGAGTCTTAAAAGATCACCCCAAAGCCCATATAAATCTACTTTTGAAAAATAGTATATTCAGTTTATAAAAAGTATTTATAAAAACAGCAAATAGTACAACTCCAATTCAGGAGTTAAAAGGACAGGGTTTCTGATGCTGTACAAACCCTAGGTCAATGTGGTTTCCTCCTGACCTGAGAGGCCTCTTGCCCTAGGAGGGCTAGGGGAAAGCTGCCCCACTTGATTCCTTACTCTGGAGGTCAGTCAGAAGCCTTGGCAGAGGTCACTACAGTCCTACTCATCTCATTATCTGCTTCTTCCTATCTGCAGTGAAACCTGGTTCTGCAGAAGTCACTTCCCAGGAGTCAGGCCTTGACAGCTCTGTCACTTGCTCAAGTACAGGCCTATGGTCCCTATATCCACTCTACCCTGGAGTCTCCACTGGGTCAGGCTCTGACTCCATGCTGCTTAGGGTCTCACCATGCTCCAGAGTCCTGGGCTGCGTCTTTTCTTTACCCCACACCAGAGGTCCCATGGTCTTCTTGATCTGCATCCTGCCCCCCCCCCCCCCACTGTTCCTACCTGTCACCTGTGGCCCCAGCTATCTGCTCCTCCTTGGGGTCTTGGCTCTGACATCAGCAGATTTGTTTCTGGGGACTATCTAAGGGTGGAACTAGGTCTCTCACATGGGCACCCACAAATGGGCTCTATGAATGTGTGCAGAGGGAACTAGCCACCTCTGCCCCAGAACCAAAGAATGGCTCTCTGTGACAGGGTAGGGAATAGCTTCAAAAGGTAATAGAAAATTGAAGAGATACTTCTGGTGCTGTCAGGAAGACAACCTTCACCCCTGTCAAGCCTTGGACAGTGGTGGCAGCAGGAGCAGCACAGAACATGTCAGTAGCGTATGGCACTGGCAGGCACTGCTTGACTAGCTCCACAGATGGACACACTTAATCCTCCCCAAAGCCTGTGAAGTGGGAGCTATTATCAGTTCTGTGTTCCAGATTCAGAAAGTGAAGCATGGGGGTCTCAGTGACTTGTCCAAGCTCACTGAGCTAAGCCACAATGAAGCTGACTTTCTCTGAGTCATTCCCTACCATGGGCTCCCTCAGTTTCTTGGCCTCAGGCCTTTGCTTTGCAGAGGTGCAGAGACTGAGTCTCTGACCCTCAGACTGCCTCACCACATTGGGCCATACCCAGCCTGCTGAGCAGTAAAGCAGGCCTTGAGGGGTTCCACATTCATATCACTCAGGGGCTCTATGACCCACTCAGTAAACATCCCCGCCCACTGCCTGGCCACTGCCACCCTCTTGGTTCTCCCTTGGAAGGATGTTCAGCAGGGAGAAGGCACAAAGGACATGGAAGATCCGATTTCCTTAAGGTTACTTTGAAGCAGACTTCCTCACAGAGAAGGAAAGGGGCAGTGAGACGGAGACAGGACAGAGCAGAATAGCATGGTTCAGATGGACATGTTTGAAGTTAGGAGTCAGTGTTGGGGTGACTGAGATGTCCCATGCTCCACAGCAGAGAGGTGCTTCAGACCCAAGCAGAAGGTGAGAAGTACCTGCTGAGGGGTGGCACCCAAGGCCAGTACCCACAGGCTGAGTGGGGAGCCTGGCTTCATAAGCCACTTGGGAAGAAGGATAGCAATGATCACCTGGCTCTATACTTTAGGAGAGGGCTGGGTCCATCTAGATCATTCAGAGAGACTCCTGCTGTAGACTTGCCCTGTGCTGAATCCATCCCAAGAGGAGGGGCAGGGAAGCCTAAAGCTAAAGCCCACTGATGGTGACTGCCCTGGCTCTGGCTGGTACCTCAGCTAGAGTGCCAAGACCAGGAGAGAAATGTGGGCCTGGAAAATAGCTAATGACAAAGCCCCAGGAGAGCATGGCCAGATTAACCCAAATGCACCTTGTATAAAAAAATGGCTGAACCTCAGGCGCCTCTGTGGAATCCAGATTTCCTCAGGCACCTGAGTCCAGTAGGAAAGCCTTGCTTTGTAGCATCCAGGAACACACAGACATTGTCAATTTTGCAAAACAGGCAACTGGTTGATGTCTTGGCATCTGATAGTGGGTAGATATGCAAAGGGGCTGAATGGTGAGGTTGGACAAGGGTGCCAGAGGGACTGGACACCAGTGCCAGGCCACAGGAAAGTCATCACTTATAATTTATGATGCAAGTTTCTTGTAAAGTTACTACCAGACTCCCAATTGCTAACACATAACAAAACCTTCCATGTGTACCCCTAAAACAGTGACAGGAAATGTTTTTAATGATATACTCCTCTGTATCCAATGAAGCTATTTTTAACCATCTTCTTAGACTTAATTTCCAATTTTATCCTATAAAGTTCTAATTGATTCCACCTCCCCTGATCTCTCACTTGATGAGGCTGTGAGGAACACAGGCGGTTTTTGACAGGGTTGAAGTGTCTCTTCACGTTGCTCACATCTCTTTTAGCACAGGCCTTCTTCCCAGGGGTTAACAGGCTCTCCAAAATGTCTGGAAATAGTCCTATAAACCCCAGCCACTGAGACCTGGCCTCTCCCTTGTAAGAGTCCATCTGTGGGCCCAAGGTGTACAGTCCTAGCTGTTTACTGTGACATGTCATGGATGATGGGACACAATGTGGAGGAGTTTTTCTCACTTAGCCCAAGATCCAGAGGCAGGAAAAGGATGCCACACCACTTGATGTCTGACAGAGACATCAAGGATCCTGTGCATGCCTCCTGTGGGCTAAACCGATCTCCCCTTTCCCCACTTTCACACCTCTCTTTTCCTAGTGGGCCCCATGTCCCTCTCACACCCTTATTCTCCCATGTGCTGGCAGAGAGAGGGTCTGCTGAGTCCCCACCTGGTATCAAGAGCCAAGGAACCAAGGCCTTGTAGGACCTTCAAATCCTGCCTTGCTCCCAGCCCCATCACATGCCACATGCCAGTCACTCTGGGCTTTGTTCAGTTCCTCAATGTGCCTACTGCCTCCTCCAGACCTGCAGGCAGACTGCTACCTCTGCCAGAGACACTCTCACTCCCTGAAGTGAGATGCTCCACTGGGCATGACCCCAGTGCTGACTGTCACTCCTTGTTGAGCTTTTTCTCTTACTAAAACTGCTGCACTATGAATCTGTATTACAAGCTGTCACAGCAAGTTCTGGAGTTGGAGCCGCATCTATTTTGCTGATAAGGGTCACAGTGAACATGTATTGAACAGGTACCCAGAGACAGACATGGGCCAAACACTTGGCAGAAATTCTTATCTCTCTCTCTCTCTCTTTCTCTTTTTAAAAATTCTTTTTAGTTGTTGATGAACCTTTATTTTATTTATCTTTTGTGGTGCTGAGGATCAAACCCAGTGCCTCACACAGGCTAGGCAAGCGCTGTACCATTGGGCTACAACCCCAGCCTGAGAAATTCATATCTCTTAATCCTCACCATGAATGAGGAAGGCAGCACCCACGACCACCACACACTACAGATAAGTGTACCAGATTTGTGAACTGGGGATTTCTCCATGGTTGCTCACAGGATAAAAAATAGTGTCAGGCTGTGCTCTTAGAAGCCTTAACTCACTCACTGCTCAGTTCCCTGGCATGTCCCTGGAGTGCCCACCTAGCCAAGAGTGGGATAAACAATCAATGCTCTGGTGTGGCCCAGGCCATAGCTGGATGGGGGCACTCTGACAAGCTCTAGCTTTGGGGATTTTGGAATCTAGTGGCCTGGCCAGGGTTTGAATGGATCAAAGAGCCAAAATCCCAAGAAATGAACTGCTAATTCATTAATTTGGGCTGGAAAATAAGTCCACGCTAATTATATTTTTTAAAAAATCCAACACCTGTTGGCCAACTTCAAATGGTCCAAATGCCAGACCAAGTATGGGCAACTAAGTAAACTCACATCATGACCTACCTGAGTGAGGACATCCAGCTGGCTCACGATGTGCTCCAGTGTGCTGGTCAGTGTCTGGGGCATGCTGATGGACTCCTGGGGCTGGCTCTGCACGGACTCTAAACTCCTGCCTTTGCCCGGTGGGATAGGGAAATCCACTTCTGGCTAAAGAGAAAGAAGAATCCCTCAGTCTATTCAATATGTGAGGAAATGCTGAGAGAAGAACAGCCGCTCCAAAGGATCACGTGGAAAACCACCAGCAAATTTGAGAAAATGACTTCAAAGTGTCAGTAAGAAACGGCAAAATGATGGGGTTCCCACATCAGGGTCCACACGTCTACCTTTCTGAACAGAGGCTATGAGGAATGCAATCAGAATACGGTGGTCTAGGCTAGAAGTGGCCTGGTGAACAGGCAGGTAGGCCAGTGGGTGCCCTCTTGGGGTCCTTAAGGAGGCTGGTCTGTGTCTCAACTCTTCACTCAAGGTGTACCCACTATTCCGAGTAGGGCTAGAGACACTGAAGACTACCTGGCCCCGAAGCTGCCTCTCTTCCCAGTCAGCCCACTCTAATTCCCCATCCCCAACACGGGATGCTCCAGGTTTCAAGAAGGCCTTCCCAAGGGTCTAGCAACTGTGGCCCAGAATCAGGTGAGGGGATGTCCCAAACTTGCCCTGGTCCAGATCCTCTAGGGGGAAAAAACCAAAAAGATTTCTCTGTGACTATCCTGGCCAGATGGCTCATGGGAGTTGAAATCCATAGGATAGGAACAGTCAGGCTATTCCCAATGTGACCTCAGGAATATGAGGTGCTCCATGTTTCTGCTAAGGCCCTTCAGGCTCGTGCCAATTAGAAAAGTCAGGTCTCTGCTTTAAACACAGATGAAGGCTTCCCCAGACCCAAGAAGTGCAGTGAATATTCAGTAGGTGGGAACACCCCAGCTTTGGTTTGATTTGGTTTCTTTTGGTGGGAGGGTACTGGGGATTGAACTCAGGGGCCCTGGACCACTGAGACACATCCCCAGCCCTATTTTGTGTTTCGTTTAGAGACGAAACACAAAATAGGGCTGGGTTGCTTAGTGCCTCGCCATTGCTGAGGTGGCTTTGAACTTATGCTCCTCCTCCTTCAGCCTCCCAAGCCACTGGGATTACAGGTGTGTGGCTCTGTGCCCGGTCCAGCTCTAGTTTTTTTTTTTTTCTTAAGTTACATATGAACATCTATCTTTATTTTGTTTATTTACTAATTTATTTTATGTGGTGCTGAGGATCCAATCCCATGCCTCATATGTGTAAAGCATGTGAGGCAAGCACTCTGCCACTGAGCCACAACCCCAGCCCAATTCAGCTCTAGTTCTGAAGGCTGTGATTCCTCTGTGGAATTGTTCCCTGTGGATTGCCATGCTCAGTGATAGCTCGACTCTTGGCCAGCCCCAAAGCCTCAGTGACACATAAATTTAGCCACAGCTGGGGCTTGGGCTTTAAACCACTGCCTCACTAATGGGCAAAGGGCATTCTAAACATTACCATGTCACCCCTCAGATTTGATAGTCTTTCAGGGCTCTCTGCCACCCTTGGGAGAAAAATCCAAGGCCCTTGGCAAGGTACTTGAAGCCAGTCCACCTCCTTCGAAAGCTCCTCTCCTGCCTCTGCACCCTCACTTCCAGCTCAAGCAGCCTGACCTCTGCTCCCTTCCCCTCGCCACTTCTCACTCCTAACCAGGAGCTCCTCTGTGCTCCTATATACCTGGGCCTGCCCCATCCTGCCCTGTTCCTTCAGTTACCGCGCTGCCAGGGCCAGGACACATGAATGGCTGAGTTAATGCTGGCCTGTCCACAGGGCCCACGACTTTGCCCTCTCACGCCTCCTGTTGCACACCTCCTTTCTTTTCTCGCTAACCCAGAACTTACTAGGCTCAAGAGTCGAAAGCAAGCCAACTACTGTGTATCACAAAACCAAGGCTACTCCATACAGCAGCCCTGCCTCTCAGTGCCACAGCCAGTGAAGTACATTGGTGACAACTGGGGCTCACCTAGGATGCCTGTGTACCTGATTCTGACAACACGAGGCTGCCTACAGAGCCACTATTAGAAGCTAGCTGCTTCTCCTGTCTCTCATCTCTTGAACTTACCTACAGCAGCCCAGCACTGGGAACATGCTCTGCCCTGGACATGCTCACCTGGGCAGGCATCAGAGTCCTTAAAAGGAATCAGCCCAGGAGAAGATTCCCAACTGACGAGGAATGCAAAGGCAGTTGAGCGTGTGGCCCCTACCTGCATATTTTCCTTTACTAGGAAAGAGTTCTAATCTCATAAACCACAAACTCTCAAGGGCACATTGATTTGAACCTGGAAAAATGTAAGTCCTGGTGGCTAAACAATGCCTGTGAGACATAAGCCGGAGGGACGTTCTCAAGAACAGAAGCAGCACAGTGTCCACGTGTCCACTGCCCTCTCATCTGCTATGTACTATGGCCGCTCTCTAAGCCCTGAGCCATCAGGGCAAGGGCTCTCCCAGTCCTCCAGGAATCGACGCTTTTCAGATCTCCTTGCCCACCCAGAAGTCCATTCCAAATGAAAGCATTTCAGAAGCCAAACGGCCTTGCCAGGATAGCCTTCTGCCCACTGCAGTGGCCCCAAGGCCCAGGCAGTCTGTCAGAGACTCAGCAAGAGCACAGTGGTGAAGAATAGTGAGTCAGACTAGGTCTTGGCTGAAATCCAAGCTCTGTCACTGACCAGTTAGATGCAGTGGGCAAGAGGCTGACTTCTCTTGGCCTCCACTTCCTCATCTATAATATGGGGGTGAAAACTGGGCCAGCCCTTCAAAGGGCTGGGTCATGAGAGGTGCTCATCTAAAGTCACCAGCAGGCCTTGGGAAAAGTTCACGGTGCTGTGCCAACTCCTTGCAGCCAAGCTCACTTTTCCTGTGGACACTAAGTCCTTGTGACTTCTCCGGGAAAGGTCACCGGAGAGAGGGTGTAGCCCTTCTGTCCCAACAGCACGCATCCTCATGAAGTGGGCCAGACTGGTGCTGCCTGCTGCCTGAGGAAGAGGGAATGGAAATTCTGAGTGTTTCTGCAGAATAGCTCAGAAACTGCCAGTGCTGATGGCCGCTGGAAACACTGGATGATGGTGGAGTGGGAGTGAGCACCACTGACTTTCGCAACAGAAGCCTTATTCTAAGCCAAAGCCGAGGAGGTCCAAGGGAGCATTAAGGACTGCAGCTACAGTGCCTGGTGCTGGCCTTCAGAAGAGAGACGTGTTCCCATCCATACCGTGCTTTCACAGTTACCTCCATTTCACAAAAAAGGAAACAGACTGACAGAGGAAGTGACTGTCCTCAACCCGAAGTCTGCCTTGAGCCATTTCCCTTCCTCTTTGTCCATTCTCATCAGATGACATCAGAGCACTTAATGCCTCTACAAGCCCAGCAACTGCTTTTGTTTACTTGCTGTCTACTACATGGCCTCATTTAATGTCACCCCATTTAATGCATCGCCTCACTGAATCCTTATGATGGCCTCTGGAATAGGGATATTAACCTCATTTTTTAGATAGGGAAAATCAGGCTCAGAATTAAGTAACTTGCTCTAAGTAGCCCAGCAAATGAGAATAGGGATCTAAATTCAAACTACAGACACTTCCTAGACATCAGGCAGCCTCTGGAAGGTGACACTGGCTGTAGCTGGGCTTCCATGTGCACTTGTATCTCAAGGAGGTACATCTTCTCTCTTGTATCTCAAGGAGGCCACCAGGTCCTAAGTCTAAGAGTTTGGCATCATTCCCCTACTCTGCCTACCCTGGCACGCCTGCCCACCAAAAGCTGAATACAGAGGAGGCTCTCCATGAACACCTAACGCCTCTAAGAGCCAGACCCACCACAGTGTTGAAATTCCTGTGTAGTGAAGTCTCCCCAACGCCTACACTGCAGCAAAGGACCTGTAGCCCTGCGCACAGCAACGCAGCCACTCACCTGCACTCCAGCATTCTGAAGCTGTGGCATTTCCTGAAGAGCTTGGCAAATAAGTGAGAAAGCAGTGATAAGAAAATGACATGAAAATAGGAAAAGACATTCATACCAGGGACATAAGTAATGACAATGGCAGAGTAACCAGAGCAGCATTAAGGGCGAAAAGAAATCACAGTAGCCTTTTGTCTATTTGACATCAAAGTGGCTTTGCCTGATGGTTCTCAGTGAAGGCCAAGGGTGAGCTAGGGTAAGAGAAGAACCTTAAATACAGGAGTTTGCACCCACTCACAGGTTCCTCCCCACAGACCACTGGGCATTCACGAGAAAGACTTGGTGGGAGCAGGGTAGTGAACAGGAGAAAACAAGCCAAGTGCAGGCCTGTAGAAGGGACCACAGAAAGGCATTAAGCCCTGCCAAGGCCATACCCGTGTGTCCAGCCCTTCTGTTTTTGTTTATCTGAAAAAGTCTGGAAAGGGAATCTGATTTCATTTTTGTTTTAGAATATAGAATATTATATAGAGTATTATATATAGAATATTATATAGAGTATAGAATATTGGGCTAGCATCTTCCAATATGTCAAAGATGTTACTCCAATAATCTTTGGTTTATATAGTTTCATGTGAGAACTCTGTAATTCTTACTTTTGATTCACTGGGTGAGCTCATCTTGAGACTCTTAATTATACCTGCAAACGTTCACAAGTTCTGAACTTCACTCTCTCTCTCTCTCTTTTTTTTTTTTTTTTGCAGAGATGGAGGAACTATTAGTCAATAGTCAACCCATGATAAAATGCTTAGGTATATATGCTAAAAACCACAAAACACTGATCAGAAAAATCAAAGATGACTTATATCATGAAGATATATATAGCATGCTTGTGTATTCTTTTTTTGGGGGGGATGGTGGTGGTGATGCTGGGGATTGAACCCATGGCCCTGTGCATGCTAGGCAAGCACTCTATCAACTGAGCTACATCCCAACCCCATTGTGTATTCTTTAATAACAGCTCAATGCTGTTATGATGTCAATTCTCCCTCAAAGTAATAGGCATCAAGAAATTTATATGGAAAGGCAAAGGAATCAAAAAAGTCAAAACAATTTTGAAACAAACAAAAACAAAGACAAAATTAGAGGAGACACACTACCTGATATCAAGACTTGGTTTAAAGCTACAGTAGTCAAGAGTGGGATTATAGGCG